AGTTGTAGGCTCCGTGACCCTGTCTCCCGTGGGTGCCTACTCCTCTTCGTGTGCCGCTTCCTGCTCTCTCCTCCCCGCTCGCCAGTGGCTTTTCTCAGCCTCCAGCACCGGCAGCTTTTTTTTTTTTGTATTCCCCAAAGTGACCTTTCAATTACATAACAACTTAAAAACACTCAGCACCAACAAGAGGCCAAAATAATTGAAACAATGTTTTTCCAGCCTTCACAAACACAATTCGGTACCAAAACCCTGTCCCTTTCCATTCCCAAAGTTAGAAAAACAAGCGGAGGGGGACGGCGAGGGCTGGGAACCGGGAAGCTGTCGGCTCACCGGGCAGTCCTGCCTTTGCTTTGGGGGCTCTGAGGGGCAGCAGATGGTCTCTGTCAGCCCTGGGGGGGCCGTGGCTGTGGGTCAGGGCTGTGCTGGGGTGCGGGTGAAGGAGCCAGGGCTGCAGCCGGTTGCTCCCTGTAGCTGACGTTTCCCTTGGGTGGCAAAGAAGGGTCAAAGGAAAGAGAAAGTGGTGAGGTTTTTCTAGCCCCTTTGTACCCCCCCTCCTCACCAAAGGTGTGTAGGTGAGGTGTGACATTTTGAGCAACTCGGGGAGACACCGTGAGTGTCCCTCGGGCATCGGGGCCTTGTGCTGGGCGCGCCACGGAGCTGCGGTCTCGGCTCTTGCTGCTGGTCTCATTCTTCCATCTCTCCGCTTCCTCCTCGCAGATCCAGCGCCAGCATGGCTGCCACTGCTGCCGTCAGCCCCAGTGAATACCTGCAGCCGGCCGCCTCCGCTGCCCAGGTGAGCTCTGCACCGGGGACGAGGGGTGCGTCCTGGGGCTGCGGACGGCCAACGCTGCGTCCCTCAGCCCCTCCTGCCTCTGCCGTAGCCGGCGTTGCCGCGTCAGGAGGAGGGCTGGTGGCAGGACAGGCTGGAGAGCCCCGCTCTGGACCTGTTCCCAGCTTCGACGCCAGCTCCTCCAGAGTGTTATTTCTTCTCCCTGCGCTGCATTTTCCTTAAGAACCTCCTGGATCGAGTTAGCAGCTGATATCACAAGGCGGTCTTGGAATTAAAACTCGTGACACTCTGTGGTGTGTGTAGTGGGTATAAATACCACCAGATTTGCCAGGTATTTAGAGCTTTAGAGAGTTTGTAACAACGAGGGCACGCAATTAAGAGGCAGTCACCATCCCGATGGCTGCACGTAGCGTGACTAGGGTGAGCTGAAGGCACACGTGGTCTGGGTAATTAAGCACCTCCCTTAATAAGAAGTGTCTCATCGGCATGGACAGGATTGCTTTCGATGGCATGTACCCTTTCCTTTGCTGACTCGATCTCCAGATGTTTGGCACAAGCCCCTGTCTCCTAATTTACCCATCTCCCTCCTGGCTCCGCAGGACTCCCAGCCGTCTCCTCTTGCCCTCCTCGCAGCGACATGTAGCAAAATTGGTCCCCCTGCAGTGGAAGCCGCCGTGACTCCTCCTGCCCCTCCTCAGCCAACGCCTCGCAAACTTGTCCCCATCAAACCTGCTCCACTCCCTCTGGGCTCCGGGAAGAACAGCTTTGGGATCCTGTCCTCGAAAGGGAACCTCTTCCAGATCCAGGGCTCTCAGGTCGGCACCTCCTACCCGGGGGGGCAGCTGGTTTTTGCCATTCAGAACCCAACTGTCATCAACAAGGGCACCCGCTCCTCCACCAACATCCAGTATCAGGCGGTGCCGCAGCTCCAGGCCGCGGCGGGACAGACCATCCAGGTCCAACCCAACCTCACCAACCAGATCCAGATTATTCCAGGCACGAATCAAGCGATCCTCACTCCATCCTCTTCCTCTCACAAGCCAGTGCCCATCAAACCGGCTCCGGCGCAGAAAAGTGGAGCTTCTCCTGCTCAGGGCACAAGCAACGTGGTCAAATTAGCCGGCGGCAGCAACGTGACTCTTACCCTGCCCGTGAACAACCTGGTGAACGCCGCCGAGCCAGGCACACAGGCTCAGATCCTGGCAGAGAGTCCCTCAAAACCCGGCAAAAAGACTCGAAAGAAAGCCGTGTCGCCCGCTGCCGTGGCCGTGGCCGAGCAGGTGGAGACGGTGTTAATAGAGACCACGGCAGAGAACATCATCCAGGCGGGCAACAACCTGCTCATCGTGCAGAGCCCGGGCTCGGGCCAGCCGGCCGTGGTGCAGCAGGTCCAGGTGGTGCAGCCCAAGCAGGAGCAGCAAGTGGTGCAGATCCCGCAGCAGGCCCTGCGCGTGGTCCAGGCTGCCTCTGCCACCCTTCCCACTGTCCCCCAAAAATCCTCCCAGAACTTCCAGATCCAGACGACGGACCCCGCTCCTGCCCAGGTACTGTGTCCTCCTGCTGGGTTCCTCTGCGCCATTTCCTCTCCACAGTCTGAACCCAGGCTGTAAAAACCTGAAGGGATTTGTGAGCTGCCAAGCGTCCTCAACTTGGCGTCCAGTTTAGGCATCGCTCGTGTGGATTCTCTGATGTCTCAGAAGGGTTGGGAGCGCAGTTGTTCCCTCCGCAGGGCTTTGTTAAGACTCTCTTGCTGGCCTCCTGCTTTTACAGGGCTTGTAGCAGTTCGGTGTCTTTGAAACCTCTGCAGTGCCACCGGCTCGGGTTGGGATGAGCTCAGAAGCTCTTGGGAGGCGGGGGAGAGCCCGTAGGACTGTCTTTAGTGCTGCGTTTGGAACCCAGGCTGCAAGGCCAAAGCAGGCCTTGGCTGGCCTGGGAGACCCACAAAGGGTCTTCAGATGTTCGGGCAAGTTCTCCTGCTCTGTGGCTCATCACAGGCCCAGATTCCTGGCTTTTGTGGGGAGGGCGACCGTCGTGGTGGCGGGGGTCTGCCTGGTGACGGCAGCTGCTCTCATTCCTCTTCTCTCCTCCCATCAGGTCTATTTCAAAACGTCGTCGGGCGAGCTACAGACAGTGCTGCTCCAGGAATCCCCAGCCGTGACGGTGGCTCCGTCTGGGACCTCTTGCAGCAGCCCCGTATCCCGCAGCTCCGGCGCGGGGAGCGGCAGCAAGAAACCGGCCACGCGCAAGGAACGTACCGCTCCCGCCGGAGGCATCATCAGCTTGAACGCGGCTCAGCTGGCGGCGGCGGCGCAGGCCATGCAGACCATCAACATCAACGGCGTGCAGGTCCAGGGCGTCCCCGTCACCATCACCAACACCGGAGGTGGGTTCCGCTCTGCGGCCTGGCGGGAGGGACAGTGGGATGTAGGCAGCTCCCAGATCCAGAGGACAAAAAGCCCACCCCCCAGCCCTCAGCTGGCAGCAGGGGGTGTTGGAGCTGTGTGAACCCTTGTGCCCTCAGGCTGAGTGTCGCTGACTGTTCAATGTCATTGGTGCTCTGGGAAACTCGGGTTGTGTCACAGCGTGGCTCTGGTGGCTCTGTTCCCAAGCCCATCCCGGTGAGCTCTGTCAGGGTTAGCAGAGACAGCTGCCTGCGGGGTCGGGCCGGGCCGAGGCTGCCTGAGAGCCCAGACCAGCTTGGCTCCGGAGCGCTGTGCAGGGGAAGGCCGAGCTCTGAGGGGTGACACGGCGGCCTTTTTTTCTGGAGAGCTGAGCAGAGGGACACGGTACACCAGGGATTTCCCTCCAGCATCACTACTGGGCCCTTCCCACGGATCGTGCTGCCAGCTCCCAGTCCCGGGACATCTCTCCTGGCATGCGCTGGGCACAACGGCTACTGGCTTGGGCTTCCCGTAGCCAGGAGACACGCGTTCACCCGGCCGGGCTCCGCGCTCCTCCGTGTTCTAGCGAGGGGTCGCCATTCCCTGAGAGCGAACCCAGCCCCTCCGTGGG